TGGAAGCTTTTTTTTTTTTTTTTTTTTTTTTCTCAGTGCCACACACTTTTTTTTTTTTTTTTTTTTTTAGGGGCTCAGAGAGGCCTTTTTTTTTTTTTTTTTTTTTTTAGGCCTCCAGAGGGCCTTTTTTTTTTTTTTTTTTTTTTGGAGCCTTGTGCCCTCTTTTTTTTTTTTTTTTTTTTTTTACATTGTCTCCCTGGCTTTTTTTTTTTTTTTTTTTTTTTCCCCTTCCTTACCAGAGTTTTTTTTTTTTTTTTTTTTTTGGGAGAAGGTGGGGGACTTTTTTTTTTTTTTTTTTTTTTGGGAGTCTATGTACCCCTTTTTTTTTTTTTTTTTTTTTTGGAGGTCCAGGTTCTCGTTTTTTTTTTTTTTTTTTTTTTGGGGCTGTGAGCACGGCTTTTTTTTTTTTTTTTTTTTTTCCCAAGGGTCTAGCAGGTTTTTTTTTTTTTTTTTTTTTTTAGGATTCTAGGGGTTGTTTTTTTTTTTTTTTTTTTTTTCCCCCACCGCCGCCAAGTTTTTTTTTTTTTTTTTTTTTTGTGGCAAAGAATTTCCATTTTTTTTTTTTTTTTTTTTTTGGCCCTTGAATGGAATCTTTTTTTTTTTTTTTTTTTTTTCTGACCAGCGATCCCAGTTTTTTTTTTTTTTTTTTTTTTGGGCAAGAAGGGCAGATTTTTTTTTTTTTTTTTTTTTTTACTTCCTCCAGGACATGTTTTTTTTTTTTTTTTTTTTTTCCCTGCTTGCAGGGAGCTTTTTTTTTTTTTTTTTTTTTTCATTCGGGGGGCTGGGGTTTTTTTTTTTTTTTTTTTTTTGGCACAATTATATATCATTTTTTTTTTTTTTTTTTTTTTTTACCTGGGAGTAGGGATTTTTTTTTTTTTTTTTTTTTTAAGTGAAGAGTTTGAAGTTTTTTTTTTTTTTTTTTTTTTGAATGACAGGAGGACAATTTTTTTTTTTTTTTTTTTTTTGACAGGTCGGCAGAGAGTTTTTTTTTTTTTTTTTTTTTTCCCCTTTCCAGATAACATTTTTTTTTTTTTTTTTTTTTTGTCAGACTACTGATAGGTTTTTTTTTTTTTTTTTTTTTTGCCCGCCTTTTAGGAAGTTTTTTTTTTTTTTTTTTTTTTAGAATGCGAAGGCTCAGTTTTTTTTTTTTTTTTTTTTTTAGGGACTTGACTTGGACTTTTTTTTTTTTTTTTTTTTTTCAGGGCTATTGTCATCATTTTTTTTTTTTTTTTTTTTTTTTCATGACCCCTCTGCATTTTTTTTTTTTTTTTTTTTTTGCAGGGCACCCAAATATTTTTTTTTTTTTTTTTTTTTTTGCTGCCACCAACAAGGGTTTTTTTTTTTTTTTTTTTTTTGCAGCTGGAGATGGGATTTTTTTTTTTTTTTTTTTTTTTGTTCCTCAGCTCCAGCATTTTTTTTTTTTTTTTTTTTTTTACACAGCATCTTAATTTTTTTTTTTTTTTTTTTTTTTTGATTCTTATGTGAAATCTTTTTTTTTTTTTTTTTTTTTTACTAGTTTGCATTTTCATTTTTTTTTTTTTTTTTTTTTTAAAACAAATCTGAGGGCTTTTTTTTTTTTTTTTTTTTTTGTTTGCCATCTCTAACTTTTTTTTTTTTTTTTTTTTTTTAACACTTGATCTTTCTCTTTTTTTTTTTTTTTTTTTTTTGAAACCAGAGAATCTCATTTTTTTTTTTTTTTTTTTTTTGGAACTCAAATTCCTTATTTTTTTTTTTTTTTTTTTTTTGGTCACAAGGCTAGTTATTTTTTTTTTTTTTTTTTTTTTTGGGTCCCTGCCCATCATTTTTTTTTTTTTTTTTTTTTTATTAACTCAAGGGGTCTTTTTTTTTTTTTTTTTTTTTTTAGGATATAGACTGACAGTTTTTTTTT